GTTAAAGATGTGATTTGTGGCTGAGTTGGTTGAGTTAAATAGATTGCATGTTCAGTTGGGGTTGTGGATTTTCTCAAATGAGTTGGACAAAAATAAGTGATCTTGATACTTTGATGGTTACATGTGGTATTTTATGAAATTTTTGAGTTGCATGCATAAATCTAGTAATGAAAATGATTCGTAGATGTTGTTTAGGAGGAAAATTTGTGGAGTACAAGTGAGAAACGAAGGGAAAACCATGAATATGCATAAAAACTCTACACTTAACGCTATAGTCATAGTTGAGTGTTGCAGTTATGGTAAAAAATTGGGCTGGTAGAGATCCAACGCTTTAGTCATAGTTGAGCATTGTAGTTATGTGAAAAACTTTGTAGCTATGTGAAAAAATTGGGTTGGCAAAGATTTAGCGATGTTGTCATAGTTGGAAAATTGGGCTGGCAGAAATCTAATGTTGAAGTGCCAAATTGAGTGTTGTAGTAGTAGGGGTAAACGAATGAATTTGATCATAGGGTATTCATAAAAGTTGTAGTCTTAGATGTTAACTTTCCAGTGACTTTGAAATCACCTAAAAAGAAGGTCTAGAACTTCAATTATTATCTTTTTAGTGAGTAAAGGTCAAGCTGTCAACATTGGTAAATTGTGACAATTTTTGTAATTTTCAACATGGTAGATGATGGAATTAAAACCTGAAGTCTCCAAGAGAGTTGTAAATCTTTTTATATTTCATATGAGATAAATATGAGTTTGTTTTGGTTGGTAGAACTCCAGTTATTGTGTTATGCAGAAGTGTTGTTGTATGTTAGTTGGTGATTACATGTTAAAAATGTTATATGTTACTTCTCTTATAACATATGGTTATATATGATGTGTTGAGATAATAAATGTTGAAATATAATGAATTTTTTATATTTAAATGATGTTAAACGATAATAATTGATGATGAATATTGTTGATACTGAGTTGTATATTATTGATTAATTTGACGAAAGTTAAAAGTTATATGTTGTATAAAGTGATAAAGCTGTGAACATGTGGTTGAGATACATGTCTAAGTTGAGATATATAGATGCTAAAGGTAAATTAAGTTATTTTGAAAGTTGCTACCTTCTAGGGTTTGTGGTTCTGATATGGAAGTAGTCGAACCATAGTTTAGTTAAATGACTAACCGAGTAAAGTACGAAGTCGGGGGTTAAAATTCCTAATCTAATTTTGAAGGATTGTGATATTTGGAGGATAGTTGGTGGGTTAATCCCATAGGTGGTTTAGCTAAGCTAACTAATTTCGTGGTAGGCCTATACCCAAACTGTTCTACTTTGATATAGTATCATACTTCATTGTTTAAGTGACAAAGCCTAAGAAATCAAATTAAGTTGTTTATACATGAATTTCTTATGAGGCCTAACACTATCCTATACTTGACCTAACTGAGATAGGTCTAACACTATAATTCGGTAGGGACAAGTCACTTAGATTGCTCATCTTAGTTGTAGCCTGTAGGAGATCTCTTTAGTTGAAATGCGTGATGACACATGTTGTTGTTGTTATGTTGAAAATATTGTGTTACTGTAATGATTAATTTTGTTGAGACTGTTGTGATGCTGAATTGATATTATGTTATTATAAATATATGTTATTTCTTTTACCATAGTTTACCCTTGTATATTTTCATATAATTTGGATTGCAATGATCATATGTTATATGAGAGTGGAACATGAATATGTATGTGATGTTGCTGTTGAGGTGGCCATCAGGAGGATGACAGAGTTGGATATATTTTTGTACTATAGCGGTGTAGTGTTATGAGTAGAAGTTACTTTTTAGGTAGTTGTGGGTGAATATAATTTACTTTGTTGGATCATTGTATTTATATAATATATTTGCATATTGTTATTTCACATGTATGATATATAGTACATGGCCTAATATTAGTAAACTTACACTTCTAAGATTTTTAGTAGATATTCGTTTGAATTATTGTACCATTAGTGTAGGAATCATGGTGGATCATTACATATAGTGTTGAATAGAAGTGTAAATGTTAAAACAAATTTAAATTAGCGTAACAAATTTAAATTAGCATAACAATTGAGTGGATTAGGACGTACCTCTTGAATAGGTTTTCAAACCTTAGAGATAAGTGTAAAAATTACATAGGTCAGATTATGCCTAAACCTTTGAAGAGGCTAGATTAGGAGGTTGAAAAATCTGAGAATTGAGTTGCATGTTGGGGTGGGGATAGAGATTTTGAGATGAGCCACTTACACAATGGTGAGAAGTTTATTGTTGACATAAAAACCAAAATTATTGTAGCTGCAATTTTTGGAATTTGGTAGGTATTCCATGCAGGCATGCAGTGGCTGCGCTGCAGTTCAGAAAGTTGAACTTCATGAATTATGTTGACAGTTGTTATTTGAGGGATACATATATTATGTGTTATGCAAGTAAGATTTCAACCACAAATGGGCAGGATATGTGGCTTGAAAGTCAATTTGATGAGATTCAACCACCTAAAAATAAAATGGGCCCTAGGCGTCCAAAAAAATTGAGAAGAAGAGAACAAGGTGAAATTGACCCAAATCTGACAAGAGACTTTGGAAAGTATAGGTGTAAGAGATGTGGTGTTCAAGGACATAACACCAAAACCTGTACAAAGCCAACACCAACACCACAACCAGCCAATCAAACACACACTAATGAAACACCAGCACCAGATCTGAATGTTGGAGTAGATACAGAACATGTTGCACCTGAAGGAGTAACCATAAGAAAGAAGGTAGATGCTATAATAATAACGAATTCATTGCTTATATACAATTACTAATCTTTTACCTTTTTGTAGGAAAGAAACATGAGACCAAAATTGGTGCAAAGAAGACCTCCAAAGGAGTAACCACAAGAAAGAAGCAAGTAGATATGAATGATGAGAATGCTGCAATAGAAAAACCAATTGCAGAAGGACCAAGTGCACCAATAAAAGAATCATAGCAGGAACATAGGAGAAGGGAATACATGCTTTTTTTAGGATTACTTTTGCTACAACATGTGTATTTAATTTCCCTTCATGTTTATCTTTTGGGGACCATATTGTACCTTTTTATGACAGTGAAATATAAACAATGTGCATCGTGCAGTGTCCACCTTTTGGGACCACAATTTTGTGTCTTTCTGTCTCAGCATGCAATGTGCAATATTCAAGTAGTCAAATGAAAATTATTAAATTTGTAGGTACTAATGTATGTCATAATTTTAGGTTGTGTTATGCAAAAACTACCATCATCACGTAGTATTATAAAAATAGTTAATATTTGAAGGTAGTAAGTTGTATAACTTAAAAATATGCAGGTAGTAATCTATGATGCTATATATTTCGAGATAGTAAGTTACATAACTTAGTATTTTTACAACTCAAACCAGATATGAAACATTGAATTCAATTGAATACTATTTCAGTTCAAAACATACTCATTTACAGTGCAGAGATACCTTCGTTGTTTTTGCAAATCAAATCAATTAAATATTCACAATTGCATTCAAACCATCAAATTGCATTCAATTACAAACTATTAAGAGTGTACATCTTTCCTACCAACATTGATTGCTATTACAATGCTTACAACTGTCATGAAAACCCAAAGCACTATCTCTACAAATCTTAACATCTTGATCCTATTTCTCTCAACTAAAATCCTCTTCTTCTTGCGTGAAATTTTCAACTTCAATAGCGTAAGTTGTTCATGAACAACAGAACATTCGTCTTGAAACCCTGCAATTTCATTTTTGATTTTTGCAATTTTCTCTTCATTTGCTTTTTCTACATCCATTAAAGCACTAATTCTTAACTTCAACTCTTCAATTTCACGCATGTGACTCCTTAAAACAGATTCACCCATAGATGTGTTATCACCATCTTTAACCCAAAGAAAAAAATTGCAACACTTAGGTTCCTGTAACCAAAATTTAAACAAAATTGTTATAAAAAAAGGAAAACCCTAAACCCTAACCCAATAGATGTCATTTGCAAAGCACAAAATTAATTATAACTTATGTTCCAATTAGGGCATCTCCAAAACCTTTTACCAGGATTTTCTTTGCTGTGAGATGTCAAAATGATAGCGAATTTCTTACATTTGCAACTTACTTGTTATCCTATAGAAGACGAGAATGATGAACCACAGAAAGAACTCATTTGATGAAGACAAACCCAAACCCAACTTCAGTCAATGACGAAGACAATCGAAACAGAACCCTAACCCCTTCTCTCTTTCTTCTCTTTCTTTCACGGTTCTTCTTCTTCACCCACGAGAGTCTTCTTCTTCTTCTTATTCTTCTTTTAGGGTTTTTTCAATTTGTTCTTAGAGTCCTCTTTCAATTTCTTATTGACTGCCAAACGTGTAGAATGAGGTGGCGATGTGTGCTGACATGGCATACACTATTAGGTAATGATATGGCAGTCCGTTAGCACGTCATCATTTAACAAACAGAAACTAACGTCAGGTACTAAGAAATATTAGTAAGGTAATTTAAACAAAAAAAAAATTTAAAAATAATAATCAAAAAACCCGCCTAATTCGAAATAATTTAAATATATTTAAACCTTTTAAATATTATAATTTACTTATACATTTATAATTTATATTTAATATATTTACTTTGTCTTAAAGACAATATCACTACTTGTGATATATTAAAAAATAAGTTATACTATAATTAGTTAAAATTGATGAATAAAAATGTAAAAATAACATCAAAAGTAAACACATTTAGTACAAGTGTTTAAGTAAATTATAATATTTTAAAAAAATAATGTAAAAAATAAATTAGTAAATAATTAGGATATTAAATAATAAATTTTATTTTGTTAATAATGTCTATACTAAATTATCTAAAGTGAATGACAATAATTAAAAAACACTAAATAAGTCAAGTATAAATAGATAGGTTTTGTCTTCAAATTTCTCCGAGCTCAATGACAAAGGGTTAAAAAGAAAGAAGAAAGGGCATACATTAACGGTCGGTAAATTCAAAACTTATCAACGGTCACCAAATTCAAATTTGAAGGATCCCATTCCCATCGCTCACCACACTTGGAAGCACTCTCAAACTTTCTTTCCGACACGAACCAGCTCTCTCTCTCTCTCTCTCTCACTCTCCAAATTCCTTCTTGATTGCCAAGACTCGATCTTTTACATGGATCCGATTCAATCGAACGACGTCCATATAGACCCACAAACCCTAATCTCAGAGCCTAAAGATTCTCTAATGCAAGACGCCGGCGAGTCCTTGTTCGATTCGATGGTTTGCGATTCCAGTTCAAGACTCATCCCAACTGGGTTCACCAGATCTGACAACGCAGGTTAGAATATCTCAATTTCAGAAATTGGGTTTTATGGTTTTAAGGACTGAGACAAGAAATGAAAAATAGAATAGAAAAGGTTCCATTACCCCTCTTTCTAGGTTGAAATTTAGTGCTTCCACCTTTTCCTTTTCCCAATTACGCTTAAAACATCCCTTTCAATAGCATTTCAAGCTCCTTCTGTTTAATTTCTCTAGTTACAACACTGTTCACTGGGAATTGCAGTGAAGTGTTAATTGGGGCTTTAGAATTTTGGATTAGGGTTTCGTAAATTGTAATTGCGGTTAGTTTGGACGTGTAATGCTATCTGATTACGCGGGTAATTTAGATCAACCTTTTGAATGTTGGGAATATGCCTAAATATCTTAAGGACTGTGTTAGAAAAAGAAAAAATTAAGCACTGTGTTCTACGTATTGAGAACGACTGGAGGTTTATGTAGATCGAATGTTTACTTTCAACACTATGTCGTTTTGCAGCAGAAGAGGAGTGTTTCATGTTTGTAAACGCGGGAGGGGATGCTTTTAGTGAAGCAGCTGGTGGAATAACGTTCCTGGCTGACACCTATTTTGATGGTGGCAACGTTTTGCGTACCAATGAGCAAATAGTGGAGGGTGGAGACTACCCGTTTATCTATCAATCAGCTCGGTTGGGAAGCTTTTGTTACAGGTTTGATAATCTTCCTCCTGGAGACTTTGTTGTGGATCTTCATTTTGTGGAGATCATCAACACAAATGGGCCAAAAGGAATGAGGGTGTTCAATGTATACATCCAAGATGAAAAGGCAAGTTTTTCCATACAAACTACACTATTTTTATTTTTATACATTTACAATTGACATATTTGTACAAGTAAAAGCTTCAACTTCTTTTTTTATTGAAATAAAATGACAGGTTCTAGCTGAATTGGATATCTATGCTGTTGTTGGAGCCAATAAGCCAGTACAGTTGGTTGATTCAAGGGTGTCTGTGAAGGATGATGGGGTAATTCTCATAAGATTTGAAAGTATAACTGGAAGCCCAGTCGTTAGTGGGATTTGCATTAGGAGAGCAACAAAGCTGTCAGGTACGGTATTTCTGTCTACGATGCATGAATAAATTCTCACCGGCATAGATGTTACTCAGCAATTTGCTGTCTTTTTTGTAATTTTTTCGAACAGCTCCACTAGTGACAAGTGATTACATTAAGTGTGGCTACTGCGCTGCACAGATTGAAATTCCCTCATCACAGGTAAGAGGCGCAACCCAGTTGAAATGTGACAGTTTGAAGTGTCAAGTGTCACAGACTCACAACATTTTGCTTTCCCTGCTTGTCATTGGAATGTTTCAGATGAAAGTTATGCAGGCAAAGTCCACGGCAAAGTACAAGAATAAGATAAAAGAGCTCACTATGCAGTGCGAGCTCAAGGCAAAAGAATGCTATGAGGCATGGATGTCATTAACTGCGACAAATGAGCAACTAGTGGCAGTTCAGATGGAACTTGACAAAGTGACATTTAAGTCACTCACAACTGGTAATTTTTGCATGGTTTTCCTACAAGAGCATGGAAATTAGAGACTTCAAAAAACATAATTCTAACTTGTTTATGAGATTCATTAACATGTATTTGTAATAATTTAAAGATCTGATAATTTTATTTGCTATGTAATGCAGTAAGATGCACATTTAAAACATTCTTAATTTTATTGCCAATTTCCTTGTCAGATCAAACTGTGGAGAAACAAGCTGAAAGCCTGAAGAATATTTCTAATAGTTACGAGCTTGATAAGCAGAAATGGACAGAAGCAATTAACAGTTTACAGGAAAAAATAAAGGTAAATGGTGAAGATTCAGGAAGGAGTTATGTTTAAAGTTATTATCAATATTATTTTTTATTAGTCTCATAATTACATTTTAAGCTAAATATGTTTTGCAGTTGATGAAGAGTGATTATTCAAAACTTTCCTTTGAAGCGCATGAATGTGTTGATTCAATCCCTGAATTAAATAAGATGGTTTTTGCAGTACATGAATTGGGTATGCTTTAATTATATTATATCGTTGCCATTTTTCTTGCCCGTAATTTTGTGCTTTGAAATAGTATGAATCATCTTATGGAACCCAAAACTCTTTTCTGCAGTTAAGCAGTGTGAAGATCTCAAAGTGAAGTACAACGAAGAGATGACAATGAGAAAGAAACTCTTCAATGAAGTTCAAGAGGCTAAAGGTATGTTCTCATGTTATGTTTACTTATTCTCCATAGATATGGAGTTTGTTCCGATTTAAAGAGAACAACTTCAAGTCAAAGGCACTAATATGCTTCTGTTATGAATAATAGGAAACATCAGGGTTTTCTGTCGTTGCCGTCCATTGAATAAGGCTGAAATATCAGCTGGGTACAATACAGTTGTGGATTTTGATGCAGCAAAGGATGGATCCCTAGGAATTTTAACAGGTGGCTCCACCAAAAAACCATTCAGATTTGACAGAGTTTATACACCAAATGATGACCAAGGTATTTTCAATCTATAACTGTTTGCTTGAATGTCATTGCTCTTATATATTTGGTACAAGATTCTTATTATTAATATAATTAGGAATTTTCTAAACGACAGTGTTTGCTTTGTTTTAACAGTTGATGTTTTTGCTGACGCATCATCAATGGTAATCTCTGTACTGGATGGCTACAATGTTTGCATCTTTGCTTATGGACAAACAGGAACAGGGAAGACATTCACCATGGAAGGAACAGAACAAAATAGAGGAGTAAATTACAGGACTCTTGAGCACTTGTTTAAAATTAGTAATGAAAGGAGTGAAACATTCAAATATGACATATCTGTTAGTGTGCTTGAGGTTTACAATGAACAAATCAGAGACTTGTTGGCTACAGGACCTACATCAAAAAGGTAATTTTGTTATGTTTGTCATTGCTTCCATTTGTGAGATAGTCTGATACAGTAATGGGTTTCAAGCATGCTAGAATATGCAACATCACTTTTCTAAGCACAGGAATTTGAAGTAGCTGGAATGATATCTTGAAATGGTTATCAGGTTGGAGGTGAAACTAGCTTCTGAAGGGTTTCATCATGTTCCTGGTGTTGTAGAAGTCAAGATTGATAACATAAATGAAGTCTGGAGTGTACTGCAGGCTGGAAATAATGCTAGAGCAGTTGGAAGTAATAACGTTAATGAACATAGCAGCCGATCTCACTGGTACCAAGCTCTTGTATTTTTTATTTATCACTAAAGGAGGATTTCTTGTCTTAAATTTCTGCACCAATACGAGTTTTGTTTTTTTTTCTTCTTTTAATTATACTTGTTAACAATTGATTGTATCTGTTTCAGCATGCTTTGTATAACAGTAAAGGCTAAAAATCTGTTGAATGGCGCATGTACCAAGAGCAAACTTTGGCTAGTGGATTTGGCAGGTAGTGAGAGAATTGGAAAGACTGCAGCGGAAGGGGAACGACTTAAGGAAGCACAAAATATCAATAGATCTCTATCTGCTCTTGGAGATGTAATATCTGCTTTAGCAGCTAAAAGTAGTCACATTCCATATAGGTATATCTGCACCTCTTTATCCCTAGCCCATCTTAATAAGTGAATATAAGTTTTAATGATGCTATTTCCTTTTGGTGGTTTCAGGAACTCTAAACTGACACAGTTGCTTCAAGACTCGCTAGGTATGTCAAGTCAGTTTATCTTTTTGTGTGTTTCTTTTGTATTTTTTAGGAGTAAGGTTCGTTTCTGCCAGTCTATATTGGTAAATTTCTAGCTTGTTATTTTCTTTTTTTTTAAAACATTTCAGGTGGTGAATCCAAAACCTTGATGTTTGTACAAATAAGTCCATCAGACCAGGACTTAAATGAGACACTGAGCTCACTTAATTTTGCAACTAGAGTGAGGGGTGTTGAGTTAGGTCCTGTCAAGAAACAAATTGATACAAGTGAACTTAATAAGATGAAGACAATGGTAGGCTGCTGATCCTAATTGGAACAAATTAAAATTTATTCTCTATTTCCCTATGTTCTATAAATAGTTTATGTTTTCTTCCTTTTACACTTTGGCGTTAGCTTGAAAAAGCACGGAGTGAGTGCAAAATGAAAGATGAAACTATGCGAAAACTTGAAGAAAACATGCAAAGCATGGAGAGCAAGGCTAAAGGCAAGGATCAAATTTCCAAAAGTCTACAAGAAAAGATTAAAGAACTTGAGGGACAGATCGAGTTGAGAAAATCCATGCAAAATGAGTCAGAGAAACAAATTTCTCAATTATCTGACAAATTGAGAGGGAAGGAAGAAACCTGCTGTACCCTCCAACAAAAGGTTGCTTTCTGCTTGACATTGCTATTTGATTTTTGTTTCTCCTCTACACATTGTTTTAGTAGCAACAAAGGATGTCTAGCATGGCTTTGGTTTTAGTTTTGAGCTTCAATATTAAAAAAGGTTTGACATCAAATGGCAACTTCGGGTATCACAAAAGGCAGTGCTTGTTTGAGTTTATCATAAATAAAATTAAATCCTCGGTTACTGCCACTCACGTTCATTTCTAACAAGACACTTTACAACTTAAGGTGAAAGAGCTAGAGAGAAAGATGAAAGAACAACTGCAGTCAGAGTCAGCAACTTTACAACAGAAGGTGCGTCTTATACATTAGGAAAATTGCCCTTCCACTCATCTTTAATTCTTTTTTCTTGGCAAAACCTTGGCATGTGATGAATTATGTCTTGAAGAAAAGTTTACAACCATTCTTTGTTTTACTGATCAATTAGCTTGTGGTCAAAAGAGAATTTAAATCACTCAAGCAGTTCTTCTTCGTAAGCAGGTTAGGGATCTAGAGAAAAAGCTGAAAGATCAGATGCAAGGGTCTGAGTCTGAATCTGCCATTTTGAAAGATAAGGTCGCCAACAATTAGAGTTGTTCGTACAATAAGATATTCTGCGTAGTTTGATAATGGGATATATTTAATGACCTTTTTATGTTAATTGCTTCATATTCTTCAGATCAAGGAGCTTGAGAGAAAACTGAAAGAGCAGGAACAGAGCTCAATGTCCTTGCTTCATCAACAGGTACTTACCAAAGAAGAAAATTGACAGCTTGTTTCTGTTGTGCATACTACATACAGAATGCTTTTTGATTAAAATCGCATTTAAGAGTAATATCCTAATTAACATAGTTGTTAAAACCGGACTAATCAGCTTGACCGGGAACCAACCTGGTGACCGATCCAATAGTTCTAAAAAATCGGTGTGCTTTGAAACTGGTTTGAACTGGTCAAGAATAGATCAAACGAGTCCAAAATCAATGTTGAAAATCCGGTTGAACCGGTCCTGTTTAACATTTTTTATTTTAAAATTTATTTAATTTTTTTAATGATAAATAGATAAATATATGTAAAAAAAATTACAAATTAGAATACACTATTTTATCTATCATTTTAATAATTTTCTTGTAAAGATATACTTTAGTCATTTATATATTTTTTAAATCATGATACTTTACATTTTTATATTATATTAATTTGAGATTTTTCTACTCTAAATGTAAAAGTGTTTTTGTTAATATATGTTGTTATTTTTTATTTAAGTTTAAACTTAAATATTATATTTAGACTTTTACATGCACTTTAAATATTAAAAATATATAAAATGATGTTTTATTTTAATTTGTTTTACAAAATTATGATATTATATTAATATGATATTATTTTTTTGTATTAGTTAGTTATCATTATTATTTTATTAATATCGATTTAGCTATAGTCTAATTATAGTTGAACTATTGAACCTTAAAAGTTAATGTCTTGACTAGTTTGATGATCAATCTGATTTTGAAAATATTGTTAATTAATGTGTTTTTAATTGTTTTATTCTAACAAGTAGTTGATCTAAGTGGTGACCAGCTCAAGGCCCCCTTAAGCAAGTGATTAGAGGTTTGAATATTGACTCTTGTGTTAGAAGAAAACCTAGTTGGGTGGGGGAAACCTACTGTGAGTGTTTTTATATCATGAAGGATCCCAATCGGCAATCTCAATGAATGACTAAAAATTGGTCCCAAGGATATTAGATCCCCTTATGCAAGCGGGTTAGGTTTGAATTCTTACTCTTGTATGATAAACACCTGGTTGAGAGGGAAGCAACCCACCTTTGAGTGATTTTGGATTTCAAAGTAGATTAGTTTGGATGAATGGTCCGAAATATATTTCTTGTAATCATATGTGTACCAAAAACAAGTTATCTTAAGCCAAGTGGGTGAGGGGTATGAATCCCGACTCTGGTATATGAAGAAAACTTGGTTGAAAGGGAGCAGCCCACACCTTTGGGTGTGTTTAGATTTCGAAGTAGATTAGTTTTAATGAACAGCTAGGGATAATTCCTTGTAATCTTATGTGTACCAAAACAAAAAAAAAAAAAGTTATCTTAAGCGTGTCCTTTGAGTGTTTTTAGATTTTGAAGTAGACTAGTTTCAATGAATGATTGGGGATATATTCCTTGTAGTCATGTGTACCAAAAACAAGTTACCTTGTGCAAGTGTGTCAGAATTTGGATCCTGACTCTTCTTGTATATAAAGAAAACCTGGTTGGGAGGAAGCAACATATGAGTGTTTTAAGATCTCTAAGGAGATTAATCTCAATGAATGACCAATGATATGTACCAAAAAATATTTGAATAACTCGTGCATACAGTGAAAGGAAAGCTCTATTATCGGTGTTCATTTTTCATCATTTATCATGCTTGACCTTCTTATTCCTTGTAATCATCATGTTTACCATAAAGAAGTTATCTCCTTACAAACATAATCTCTGAATAACTCCATACACTGATAGGGAAAAGCCTTATCAGTGTTCAATTTTCATCATTTATCACGGTTGACCTTCTTTGCCATGTGTTAAATGAATTGTTTTGCACTAATTACTCATATATCACAACAGATGAAAGAACTAGAGGATAGGTACAGAGAACGAGAGCAACAGTGGCAACAAACTCATTGTTTTGTGGATGCAGTAAAAGCCACACCTGAGGTAGGTAAAAGCTGCACGAGTGAAGAATGTCCAAGCGAGATTGACGCTGGCATTTTAAGGTGTTCAAACTCAGTGAACCGCCAGATAATTCAAGGTTCTTTGTTCAAAGGGAATGATTCCACTCATCAGATAAGAAGCAAAAGAGAGTTTAGAAGCAATGATGAAAACAACTTTGTCATGTCATCATCATTACACGATAGAAAAATCACAAGGAAATCTGATCCACCTAAAATAGTGAGGGGTGGAAGACCAACACCAAGACCAGTCATTGGTAGCCAAGCTGCAGTAGTGTCCCACAAGAGAGCTAGCACAAGCAGAGATCAGGCTCAAGGAATCAGAGAGAGGGACAGTAAGAAGAAAATCTGGTCAAGATAAATACTATATCCTGTAACTTTAAAAGGAGGCTGCTCGCTCCTATAGTATAGAATTCCTTTTCTTATCCTGAAAGCTTGATTTGCAACTGAAATTTTCTGTTTAATAGTTAATAGAATACATGAAATCATTGTTTAGTGAAATTATATTACTGACTCTTTCCTATTCACACTTTTCTTCAAATTATTTATATATATAAGATTCATCAAATTAACTTGTGTCGTATCTATTCTTAAATAATATACTGGTCTAACATGCTAGGCAATGTAGTTAGCTGACTTCGGTCTAATCAACAGATTCAATCTAAGTTTAATAACTACTTATGTTCATATATATTAAAATAGTTGGGGCAATGAACAACTCACCCATCTCTAGCTACTTTTTCCTTGACATACCCAACACAAGCCACACATCATGCCTCAACCTAAAAGACGCACTCTTCAAAAATTATGTATCCACTAAAATTAGTCGGTCAAAGTAGTTGAGGAAGGATTAAAATACTCTTTTGGTCTCTATAATTTTATTTATTTTATTTTTATAATTTAAAATAAACAATTTTTATTTTCCATGTTTATTTTTTTAAATTTTTTTTAGTCTTTATAAATTAAGATAAATTTTTTTAGTTTTATATTTTTAATTTTTTAATTTTTATCTTTGTTATATCTTTCATATTAATACGACAGAAATATTAATTCAATTTTGTATTTTGGATGTCGAATTTATTTTATTAAAATTACTTTAAGTTAAGTTTTTTAACAATTTTTTTTTTTGTATTTTTACATGCAACATCTATTATTAACACATTTTTTTATCATCTACAAAATTAAAGACTTATACCACATTAACACAAAATAAATAATATTATAAAAAATTAACGATAAGAAAAAAACATCTATTTTAAACTATATGGGATAAAAATGATTGAAAAAATAAATATAAAAACTTTTAAAAAAAATAACATTAAGAAAACTACATTTTAAGGTAAGTATACAAATGTCAATTGTCAAGTGGTGAGCCTAAAATTTTCTCCCGTTATCAGCTACACATGTCTCTATCGTGGTCACCTAGCCTATAAACGAGAATAATGCTTTCGTCTCAGTCACCATTTTTGTTTTCTTCTGCTCTTTTGGCCTCTGGTTTTGATTTAATTGAGAGGATTCAAACCTTCACCAGTCACCCCATCATTCACTTCTTGTCCTTTTCTTCATATATGAGCTTCTCATCGCTTTCCCAATTTCGCTTCTTTCTTTTTCTTATTCTCCTTCACATATCAAAATTTTCAGTCATAACGTTGTTGCATACTAGAACGTATAAAACCTCACCCAAACTGGTTTGATACAAATTGAGAGCGTTAATGTTACCAAGATAATGTCTAGATTGATGAGTGGTGTGGTAGAATTCATTGATTTACTTTCTAACAAAGGGGAGCATGAAAAGCTGATTAATTTTTATATTAATTAGTATGATTGATATATTATTTCGTCCCTATGTTTTAAAAAATTAATTAGGTATGTAAATTAAAATATTTTATATTTTGATCTCTTGTTATTTTTTTTTTAAATTCTCCTATAGAATTATAAATAATCGGTAAAATTTAACAAAATATTTATTTTATATAAAGAGAGAAGAGATAAAATTACATTAGTATAACTTTAATAATTATTACATTTTTTTAATAATTTTTAATTAAAATATTTTTATTAAAAAGTGAAACTTCATTTTACTTGAATTATATATACAAAACTTTATATTAATAAAAAAAAATAATCAAATACCTCATTCATATAAATCAAAATTAAAATAATACATATT